AAAAAAAAAAAAAAAAAAAAAAAAAAAAAAAAAAAAAAAAAAAAAAGCTTATTAAACAAAGTAAAAGTGAAAAGCTGAAAATATAGCCAAAATGTCATGAGCGTAACACTGTTTAGCTGCAATTGATTCAAACTTTTTAAAGGTCACATTATTTAAAAACTGTTCATGGTATTTGTTCAAATTATTGACTGTAGTTGAAGAAGTTCTCTACTAGATCTAACCCTCCTCCTCCCCCCCCCCCCATTAATTTTCCTGGGGTAAGGAGCAATTTTCTCCTACTCAGTAACTGCTGCTTGACCCATTCTACACTAGGATTCTATGTTTATTCCGTTTTTAGTTTAAAATGACTGGCCAGTGAAATAGATCATCTACGGTCACACACATTGCCTAGTTTTCACACAAGAAAATTGGTTGTTCAGTATTGCAGCCCTGTGCCATGTATAATGATATACCTTGCAAGCTGGCATTGGCTATGTGAAAAGGCTAAGAAATTAATGACACTATAGGTATGCGCCAGATAGGTGACTTTTGATCTAATTTTTTATTCAATATAACTGTTATATGATGATTCTAAAAAGAATGACAGAGACATTGTCGTGTTATTACAAATAGTAATGCAATAGTGAAAATGTCTAGTCTATTCAAAAATTTACTTGGACCTCAGTGAATCCAGTAGATTTTAGGAAACTGGTGGTCCAATTGGCCAGAAAGCTGAAAAGTTTATGGCAAAGATTGCACTAATAAAGGAACCTTTTTTCAAATTTAATGATCAATATGAAATTTACCAAAATATAGCTGAAATAATTTTTTTGCTATTGTGTTACACGTATCAGATTTTTGTAAATTTATACTTTTTAAACCATCAGTTAAATTTATGTTTTTGTGTCATCACAAGTGCCTTTGGGTGGCAGAGGGTTAATGCTGCCCTTCCATTGTGGTCCTCATGTCAAATATATACATATGTGAGGAGTGTAACTATGCTAAATGCAGGGATATTTTATCCCACTGGAAATGAAGCAGTGGGATTTTTGCCTATGAGTGGGATTTTTTTGGTAATCATGTTTTAATACCTTTGATGGTCATCAATATTGTAATACTAGAGGTAAATTACATATTTATGACAATAAACATTGATTTGGTGCTTTATTCTTTTTTTTTATTCAATCTGATTTTTTTTCTCTTTAATAACAATAAAACCCCCAGTGATGTTTCAGACCACATCCATATCAGGAGGGCCTGTTTTATTGACAGAAACAACAGTTTAATTCTTATGCACTGTCTCTTAAAAGCAAAGTCAGTTTACTTATGATTGTGGAAAATAACCCTCTGCTTTTTTTGCCTCCATTTTTTGAGACAACTAACAAAATCAAAGTAATCCCTTCCTTCTATTTTATTCTCATGAGTGCATCAATATTCTCTGGATTGAGTCTATTTCTTAGTGCAGTTGTAATTTTTCGCAATCCACTGTGTGCACTGGATGTGCCAGTGCCAAAGAGGCTAACATTATGAGATTTGGAAATTGATCCTTATGATCAGTAGCTATCAATTCCCAGAGTTTTGCAGTTGAATGCTTTGGGTAACACTGAGTGAGAAGATCATTTTTTATAATTCTCCATTCTTTCTTCACCTCTTGAGCATCAATAAGGGTTTGACACAGATTCCTTTGAATTCATTGTGTGCATTTTCTCCCCAAAGTGAGATGTTAGCATTTCCATGGCTTCATCCCCCCAACACTGCAGCTCATCCTGACTGAGTAGAGAAATGGGCTTCATCCCCAAAACACAGAAAGAGGACATCAGCTCCTGGTCAGGGAATCTGGGAATAATACAATACAGAACTAAATTCTAAGATACACACAAAGTAAAAACTTCTTTTTAATAAAAAGAAAAATTAAATTATTGATTTAAAAATAATTATAAATAATAATATTTGGCTATAATTGAAAAAGTCATTAAATTTGTTATAAATCAAAGCAAGTACTTAAAAGGAATGAATAATTGAAGAAAACTCAAAATCTTTAATGGCACAACTTGTAATGTATTGGGGAAATCAATATCATATGGGTTTAAAATCAAAATATTAATTACCTTTTTTCAGAATTATCAAGCATAGCTTGGATGGAATCCCTTTTAGTAACCTCAGTCTTGTACTTAGAGTGTGCAACCACATGGTTCACTTTGAAAGTAGCTCCAGTAAGGTGCTCCTCTAATTGTTTGCTAAAGGTTGGTTGGTCTAGATGCACAGATCCATCTTTCATGACCTTCAAGTCCATTTTGCAGCTATCCACAACTGGCTGGAAGTCATGTTTAATTTACATAAATTAATAACAGAAAACTATTTTTGTCAACCTTAAACTGAAAGCTATACTTCTTGTTTGTTTCAGTATGTTATAGCAAAAACTTAAAACTTTTGAAAAGTACCGTAAGTTAAATCATTAGAAATAAATTTAATAAGTGACATAGTTATCATAAATAAACTAAAAGAGCCTGACTTTTACCTTTACAGTTCCTATGTCAATGACTTTCATTTGGAAAAATAAACTCAGCTGATGATCAATTGTTTGTACCAATTTTCAGAAACTACACAGACCTAAGCTGTCATATTATAGTGAGGGATTACAATCAGCAACTCCTTTCATCTTTGGGAGTTTGGGGTTAATCGGTGCATTTTCATGGGAGAAGCAATCATTATATACGGAAACTGAAAACTCTCTCTAATTCTGGAACCGTAAAAGCTAGAGACCTTTTGTTTTTTGCATTTTTATGTACAGACACAGATGTGTCTGTACAATATGTACAGACACATATTGCCATCACCTGCGTCTGTTGTCGCCGTCGCCGATGCCGATGCCGATGCCGTCACTGGCGCCGTGCACTTTCCTTGTAAACACGATAAGTGGAGGGCAGTTTTACTTTTTGGCTTTATATTTACAGAGCTGATGAATATTCATAAAATGCAGGTCAAGTTTGAAAATCAGCATGATCTGGCCATTATTATGTACAGACACAGATGTGTCTGTACATATTGCTGTCACCTGCGTCTGTCGTCGCCGTCGCCGTCGTCGCTGTCGCCGTCGGCGCCGTGCACTTTCCTTGTTATAGAAGTTATGCTGTTTTTTCACTTTTCAGCATATATGCAACACTGTAAACACATTTCAACAAAAACCGATAGGCCTGTTGTCATGAAACTCGCAGGAAAAATTGATCTTACTAAAACGCAGGTCAAGTTCGAAAATCTGCATGATCGGGCCACTATTTTAGTAGTTATGCTGTTTTTTCATTTTTCAGCATATATGCAACACTGTAAACACATTTCAAGGAAAACAGATAGGCCTGTTGTCGTAAAACTCTCATCAGTAATTGATCTTACTAAAACGCAGGTCAAGTTCGAAAATCGGCATGCAGCCTGAGTTGGAAAAGCAGTCTAATTGGCTTCTTTTTCTGGAAGTTATACATTTTCAAAGTGTGAACTTGAACTCTCATTTGCCTGAAGCCTTATGCTTGTTACACATTTTACTTACATTGGTATTACCTGTTGAGCATAATTAAAATTTGATGTTGAATTTGCAGTTTAACATAATGTACTTTTGCATCAGAATTGACAGTAGCCTATTTTGTGCATAGTTATTTCCTGCTTTTTGTCTGTACATTTGACAGCTTTGCTGCCTTGTTTGTAGAACTTGTCAAATGTAATACTGGAGGTGGTGTCCTTTTTTTTTTTTGTTTTCGACGTGGTTTTTTCATTGCACTATATAAAACAAGGCAGCAAAGCTGTCAAATGTACAGACAAAAAGCAGGAAATAACTATGCACAAAATAGGCTACTGTCAATTCTGATGCAAAAGTACATTATGTTAAACTGCAAATTCAACATCAAATTTTAATTATGCTCAACAGGTAATACCAATGTAAGTAAAATGTGTAACAAGCATAAGGCTTCAGGCCCATGAGAGTTCAAGTTCACACTTTGAAAATGTATAACTTCCAGAAAAAGAAGCCAATTAGACT